GAGGGGAGGGGAGGGGAGGGGAGGGGGGATAGTAGAGAATAGGATAGACAGCAGAATACATTAGACACTAGAATGGCAATATGTAAATCAATGGAAGTGTAACTGATGTGATACAGCAATCTGTATAAGGGGTAAAAATGAGAGTTCATAACCCACTTGAATCAAACTGAGAAATATGATATATTAAGAACTATGTAATGTTTTGAACGACCAACAATAAAAAAAGAAATATATAATGTCAGAGAGCTATTATAAATTCACTGATTTGGGGATAAATGTTTTATTTTAAAAGATTACAACAGCATCCACATGCATGTGAAAATACAGATTATTTATTTAGGAGTCTAAACAATGAACACATCAAAAATAGAACTTTCCAGTTTTTCTACATGAAGATCATTTTTTTAAAACAAAACATAATCATAATAACTGAAGGGCTGTTCATGATAATGTGTGATTTACAATGAAGACATACTGCAGTAGCAAGTGGAGCATTTACAGGATATGCAATTAATAAACATGGCCTCTAAGAATCCAGCTTTTGTAGTTAGACTGCCAGAGTTCAAGTCCCCACCTCAAGAAAATAAACAAAAAAATATGTTTCACCACTTTCTAGTTGTGTGGTCTTGGCAAAGCTAATTAACTTTTATAAATCTCAGTTCCTCATCTTTAAAATTAAAGCAGTACCTACCTCCCAGGTTGAAATAAGGATTAATAAAGCTATTTCTTGAAAGATGTTAACATACTTGATGTATAGTAACTTCTCAATAAATGTGAAGTGCTATTATCAAGCCCCAAGAAAGTATGAAAGGGTCACGAGTTTCTATCACCACATTTCAGGCACCGACACAAATTCTTAGCCTAGGAACCAGAGGTGCAGTTGGTTGGATTAGTTGAAAGACAGATTTGCCCAGGAGTGGAGAAGAGATGTAATGCTAGTTTTATTTGTAATTATTGTAACCCAGATATCAGCTGGATATCTTCCTGCCTTCACTTGCAGCCATCAAGCAATCAACATATCTCCCTACAGCCATCTATGTTCTCCTGTCACAAGATTTAGGCACACTTCGAATAAACTCTCAATTTTCATGACCAGGAGTTTTCATGCTTTCCACCAATTTCGGAAAATTCACACTGAGATCTTCTCTCTGAAAATTCACACTGAGATCTTCTCTCTGAGATCGCATGCACTGCCTTGTTTCAGTCTCTTCTGATCTAGATCCAAAATTCAGCTTCTTAGCTGATTTCCACAAAAGTTCAATTCAAGCCAACAATTTCACGCATACTAAAACTTTCCTGAAGTTTCAGAAGGTCATGGGAAGAGGTCGCATTTCATTCTGTCAATTGACTAGATGTATCGCACCCACTCTCTTCTTCCTTTGCTCTGACCTCTCTGGAATAACAAGCAATCCTTACTCATATCCCTTGGAATGAACTTAGAACTTCCAAGTAAAATTATCAAGATTATTTTCCCAAAAAAATATAGTTTTCTTACTAAGGAATTCTGTCTCCAGTGTTACACAAATAATATTTTTAACCTCATAACATTATGTTGGACTTGATTACATACGTCCATTCAGGAGTGTTATACTATGCAGCCTCTGCAAAGGAGTTGAGCAGGAACTGAGACCATGAGCAAAGACACTACCACCTGATCCACCACTAATGCAAAATGCTACACCTTAAAGTATCAATAAAGACTTTCATGAGCTGGGGTTATGGCTCAGTGGTAGAGCACTCACCTAGCACGTTCGATCCTCAGCACCACATAAAAAAATAAATAAATAAAATAAAGGTATTATATCCAACAACCACTAAAAAATAAATATAAAAAGAGAACTTCAAAAGTGCAATGAACCTGCAAGAAATTTAAAATGAAATACTAATATGTTTCAACACTCAGATGATTATGGATATTTAAATTTGACAATTGTCAGATTTTTGCTTTTATGTCTATTTTCAAAGCTTCATATAAATTGTATTAATTTAATTAAGCTCTG